ATGACCTGAGCTGAAATTACGAGTCGGCCGGCCGGTCAACTGACTGAGCCACGCAGGTACCCCGGAAATGTTTTGTTTCGTTTTGCTTTTTAAAGAGATGTGATCTATTATAAAATTCCTACTGGGAACTAAGGATTCACTCAATCACCTGACGTTCACTGTGTATCTATTATAAGGCAGGCGCTCTGCTCGGCAGAGTATACAAGAGGAGCCAAAAGTAAGTAGGACCCCCACCTCCTGGGGTCGGCAGAAGAGGCAGATGTTAGTTAAATAATCTCACAAATAAAACAACGAAGGGAGGAGATAGGTGGGAGACCGTAGGATCCAGAGCTCCCTAGTCCCACACTTGCACAAGCCACACAAAGCCCCTCACCTTACACCTTGGCTTCACCAACGCCACAGAACAGTGGCCTCGGCAGACTAGCAGGCCAGCGGCCGACTGCGCTGTGCACACGGGGAGCCTCAGGACATGTTTGTTGAATGAAGAGATGAAGGAGGTGCAGTTCACCATCACGAAATGACTCCTTCAAATCTTTCTGGCCCGGGGCACCCGGGTGGCTCAGTCGGTTCCAACATCGACTCAGGTCATGATTTCACAGTTGTGGGATTGAGCCCCGAGTTGGGCTCCTCGCTGAGCATGGAGCCTCCTTGAGATTCTCTCTCTCTTCCTCTGCCCCTCCCCCCATTTCACATGTGTGCGCACACACACAATCTCTCTCCCAAATTAAAAAAAAAAAAATTCCAGGCCTTAACCTTTGAAACAAAGAGGCTGAACAGAGAGAAGGAGCCGCAGGGCCAAGCCTTCTGCCGGACAGTCACAGGTGTGCACGTGTTCACTGGCTGACTTCCACCATCTGCTCCTCCTCAAGCCCATGCCCACCCCACGCCAAGCTACTTGCCGCTCCTTACGTCCTCGGGGACCCCCCCACCTGGACTGCCTTCCTCTCCTCGTTCACCTGGAACACCCTTACTCTTCTTCACCTTCCTGATCACCTTCTCTGCCGAGCTCCCCCGCCCCCACCCTGGTGAGCTTGATTCCCCCTCCTTCGTGCCGTCTGTACTTGGTGCTCACCTCTACCACTCTTGTCGTAACTCTCACCGTAACTCAGTTATGAACTCTCTGGGAAACAAGCTAAGTCCTATTCGCTCTGCAGGCCACAGAGTGGTCTAGAACCTGGTATGTCACAGATGCTCTAGGTCTGGCGAACGAAAGAATGAATGAACACACGCCCTGCGCTGTGCTTCAAAAACAAAGCGATAAAGTCTGTGCCCTCAAAACCCTACCATCTTCGACAATAAATACACGAAAAGATGTAGAAAAACTAGTGAGAATTAAAAACTAGAATTCTAAGGGCACCTGGGTGGCCCAGGCGGTTAAGCTCCCGACTTTGGCTCAGGTCAGGATCTCACAGTTCTGGGAGTTCAAGCCTCACATCGGGCTCTGAGATGTGAGCGTGGAGCTGCTTGGGATTCTCTCTCTACCTCTCTCTCTCTCTCTCTGCCCCTCTGCCACACACTCTCTCTCTCTCTCAAATAAACTTTAAAAACAAACAAAAAACCCAGAATTCTAAGTCAACATTATACTCAAAGAAAATAAATTATCAAACAGTGTTTGTATAAACCATCATACTTCCTCACAAAATTCAGAAATAAAAGACTAGAATAAACACACAAAACATTAAAATATAGTTAGTGGAGTGTAAATGATTCTGATCTTATTTTTTTAATTTTAAAATTTATTTTTGAGAGAGAGAGACTGTGCGTCCAAGCACACAGGTGGGGGTGGGGTGTAGGGGGACAGAGAGAGGTAGAGAGAGAGGAGAGAGAATCTCAAGCAGGCTCCATGCTCAGCGTGGAACCTGACACAGGGCTTGATCCCACAGCCCTGGGATCAAGGCCTGAGCTGAAATCAAGAGTGAGATGTTCAACAAGCTGAACCACCCAAGTGCCCCCAGGCTTCTTTTTATATATCATATTACATTTAAAATTAATGTAAACTCATTTTTCATCAGAATAAAATTCGTTTTTAATTTTTTTTTATTGTTTGTTTATCTTTGGGAGAGAGAGACAGAATGCAAGCAGGGGAGGGTCAGAGAAGGAAGAGACACAGAATCAGAAGCACACTCCAGGCTCTGAGCTGTCCCCACAGAGACCGATGCGGGGCTCCAACTCACGAACCATGAGATCGTGCCCTGAGTTGAAGTTGGGCACTTGACCTACTGAGCCACCCAGGCGCCCCCAGAATAAAATTCTGAAAATAAATATAACCGAAAATAAGCTTATCGTCTATTTAATGGGAAAAGGATACGTAAGTGAAATAATACTTAATGACTTTTGCTACAGACGCAAACTTGATAGTCATTATAAGAAACATGCATTTTTTTCATATACGAATTAGACTGTAGGTGTTATGGTGTAAGCTGCTAAATGTAGACAATTAAATAAATATCCTCGGGTGCTCCTGGAAACCCCTATCCTATCGCAATATTTGTCATTTGAGTTAATAGCAATAAATGACAAAAACTGAAATTATAAGCAGAGTCCACTTTGGAAAGAGTGTTTCTCATCATGAATGCCTGGTGCATAGTAAGTCCTCAATACCTTTTATCGAATGAATGATCTGATCATTCTTAAGCAAAGGAAACAAATTATCTATTCCTGAGGCAAGTATATCAGGAGTTGGGGTTACCTAGAATCCATCCCTCTCATGAAAACAGGCTCCAAATGTTTCTCCTGTGTTCAGTAGTCAGTTGCCAAAAAGGCTATTCTTTCCCCTTTTTTGTAAAAGGAGTAGAAGTGTGTCTATCCCTCTGCATACAAACCACCTCTCCATCTACTATCCACAAGGTAATAACACAACCACTCACCAGCCTCCACCCATCCCCATGGTTCCCTGGCCAAGGTTAGGGATTCGTGAAGCCAAACTCAAATTTGGGAGGTGAGTTTTAATAGAGAGTTTAAAATATTCAATATGAGGAATACTGGATATCTAGTAAACTGCACTTTTCTGATTGCTGGGTCAGACTACGAAAAATTGCAAACCAGAATCCAAGGTGTCCGGTCAGTTGCCAGAGGTAGGAATGAAAACCTTCATGAACAAAGGAGTTCTACCAACCAAAAAAAGCTTCCAGCTCAAGATGCTCAGAATAAAGATGGATAAAGGGGAGCGTACACAGAGTGCGGCAGAACAGGAGGGAAGCTTCTAGAACCCTGTCATCCCTCCTTCATTCATTGATCGATGTGCTAGGGCTGTGGGAGACAGAAAAAGGAAAAAGACTTAATTCCCACTGTTAGGGATTCCGTCCATCAGGAATGTAAGATGGCCACAAACTGCTATCACACAAGGAAGCAAGTAAAAATCCATAAAGGAGGTGCAAAAAAAGATGTGTTCAGAGATAGAAGACATCTCCCTATTTAGAAAGCTATTAGATACTCCTGACTGTACAACATTAACAGGATTTTGGAAATATTAGAACATTAGGAGGGAGAAAAGAACTCACTGCTAACCCCTGTCATCACATCTTGCTAAACGGGCATCCATCTGGGATACTGTCTGCGCGGCATCAGGACCTCTGTCGTCTCCTGGTGCAACACCACTTCGCCCAGGAACGGAGGGCTGATGGTCGGTAACAACAGGCCTTATACAGAGCAGCACCAGGAGCCAGGCCGGGGGCCCCGCCACGTAATCCTCACAATCTCCCTACAGGGTACGAACTGTTAGTACCCCCATTTTACCAACAGGAAAATGGGGCACAGGGAAGCTAAGTGACTTGCCCAAGGTCACCCAGCTAAGTGGCACAAATGGGATTTGAGTGTGGACAAACGGTGCCCTGAGCCATGACCCCACCCTGCCTCCCTCCCAGCTGAGAGCCTGCGGACACGACCCAGGACACACGCAGCTGGCGGATCCAAGGGGATCTGGGGCCAACCTTGCCGGTTAAGCACATGCATCCATTTCAAGCTACACTTATTTCCACAAAAATGCACGCACCATTCGTGATCCGGCTTTGAAAACGAGTTTTCACAATCTTCAATTTGCTTTGTTCATCTGAAAGTAAATACATAAAGGCAAATGCCCGTTTCCGGGGGGCGGGGCAGAAGTAGCAAAGGCAGGCTGAGCCGCGCTGGCGGGCCCACCCCTCCATGGTCCCCTCGCGGCCTTGCGCAGCCCGCACAGGCGCCTCGCCTCCGTCCGCCCACCCGCAAAGTGGCTGCGACAACTGAGCCGCCTCATAAAGTGGTCGGGATTCCACGAGAGCTCCCGTCTAAACGGCTGAGCACAGCACCCGCCCGGCGGATGCTCCGTAAACGTGCGCGGCCCGAAGGCACGTCCTCCGGGGACCCCTCCGCGCCGCGGGCCGCCCCTAAGCACCTGCCGGCTTCCTGCAGCGCACAGCGAGCCGAGCCGCGGCCTGGGGCCCCCGCCGGGAGCGGCCGTGCACCCCGCTCCGGCCCGGGAAGGAGGCGGGCTCTGCACCCGCTCCGGGCGGCGCCGCAAAACTCAGCCTGGATTCCTCACTTGGGCGAACTCGGTTCGGGGAGCACCGCGGGCCGGGCCCGACGCGCTCGGGCGGCAGGAGGAATTCGGGCTCGCCCACCGGCCGGGCGGGAGCGGGGACACCCCTGCCTCGCGGCATCCCTGGGGCGCTCGTCCCCGCCCCGCCTCCCGGGGAGGGGGCGGGGCACCGGGGCCCGGCCCGGCCGCGCCCACGCGGCCGGTTTCCCCCAAATCGCCCCCCACACACGCCCACGATGTCGCGAGGGCGCCAGAGAGGAGCGCGCGGCGCCTCACAAAGCCAGCTGGCGGCCGCGTCCCCGCCGCACGGGCCGAGCCGCAGGTGCCCGGACCCGGGACCCAGACCCGGCCCGGAGTCCGCGCGGCCGCCACCGCCGCGCCGCCTCCCGGCCGCGTGCGCCGGCGGCCACGTGCGCGCAGGGCCCGGGCACCCCCGCCGCCCCCGCCCCCGGGCACCCCCCGCCGCCCCCGCCCCCGCACTCACCAGGTGAGGAGCTGGCCTTTAAGCCCGCGCAGCAGGCTCCCCAGCGCCCTCGCTGCTCCCGGGGCGCGCGGCTGCGGGGCGGCGGGTCCCGCCGGCGAGGCCGCCTCCATGCGGGCCCTGCGCGCTCGGCGCCCGGAACCCCCCGACGTGCCGGGCGGGGAGGACGGCGGCGGGGGTGGGGTGGGGTGGGGGCGGCGCCTGGGCGGCCGGCGGGACCGCAGCCCGTGCCCGCGCGCGCGCTCCGGGGCCGCCCTCCTCGGGCTGGCTCGGCGCCTCCGCCGTCAGGCGCGCGCAGCCGGACCGGACCTTCGCAGGTCAGCAGCCGGACCCCGCGGAGCGCCGCCTTCCCCCGGCCTGGCAGAGGAGCCGCGGCGACCGGGGGCCCCCGGCGTGCATGGCACGGCTTTACGGCTCCGCGTCGCGACCCCGCAGATGGGGTGGTGCAGGGCTGCGCCCGGTGCGCCGACCTCGGGGCCTTGACTTCTCAGCCGCCTGAACTTTGCCAACTGGAAAGGAGCGGCTGGCCCCTCCCCTGACCACCCAGCCTCCTCCCTCCGACTAGGAAAGATACTTCCTATCTCATCTCAAAGAACTGAAGACGCTCTCGCGCCGATTCTTCTCCGCGCAAAACCTGGGTCAGGTCCCAGGTGGGCTGGGTGCGCGGGCCAGACCCGCAGGTGCCACGCGCCGGCGCGCAGCCTGGGCGCCCGTGCCTGGGCCACGCCTGGCGAGGGCTCTGCGGACGCGGGGGGACGGAGCGCCCGGCTCGGAAAGTTCCTGACACCCCTCCCCACCTCCACCACCATCATCCCAGCAACCGCCCTCCGCCCCTCACCCCGCCACCCCCACCCCATCCGCGGCCGGAGGCTCCGCGGGTCTGGCAGAAAGGGGACCATCAGGGAGCCGAGAGCAAAGGCGTCTTTATAGACAGGTGTTTCCTAACCACCTCCCTCCCTGGACGATGGGGCAGCGGAGAGGAGGGTATGAAGGAAAAGCAAAATAAAGGTAAATTCAAACCAGCTGGAAGTTCTGTAAGAGAGTTCTAAGAAAAGAACGTCGATTTTGAAAACTGAAATGTAGCTTTAGGAACCCCAGGTTTAGCATCTTACAGGAACCCCAAAGTTTAAATGAAATTATTGGGGTTTTTTTAGTTGTTGAAGAGCACGGTCATCCAGAGAGGGATGACTGACGATTATGGTACAAGAGCATATGGAAAAGAGCTCTACCAGAACTTGGGAGGATTTTCTCTAGTTATATTTGAGCGGAAAAAAAAGCAAGATACAGACAAATATGTTTAATGTGGTCTCACTTTTGTAAAGCAAACAATCCATTAGACCTTCTGCATAGACAGCGTTGAATTTTACCTGAGCCCTGTGCTCCTGGAAGATAGAGATGACCCCACACTTCTGTTTCCTCAGAGGTGGCATATTGCACAAAAACACGCTTAGAGATGGGGCGCCTGGGTGGCTTAGTCGGTTAAGCGTCCGACTTTCGCTTAGGTCATGATCTCCCGGTTCGTGGGTTTGAGCCCCGCGTCGGGCTCTGTGCTGACTGCCAGCTCGGAGCCTGGAGCCTGTTTCAGTCTGTGACCCCCTCTCTCTCTGACCCTCCCCTGCTCACACTATCTCTCTCTCTCTCTCCTAGAAATAAATAAAAATATTTAAAAAAAAAAAAAGAAAGAAAGAAAGAAACACACTTAGAGAAGACCCAAAAATGCTCTCTTGTTCCCCTAGGACGAAGCCAGATGCAGAACTTCCAAGTTCCCACCCTTTGCCCCATAAATGACGCTTAAACTGCTTTTGCCCACAGACTGTTCAGGACAAAAAGCTTGTTAACCAAAGTGGCTAAATTCCTCGTCTTCCTTCGGGCCTGGGAGCTTTCACCCACCTCAGCCTGAGGCAGCTTGTAAGCCACCTGAAAGGGTCCCTCAGGGTAAAAGTCCTCTGATCTGCTATTCAGTCAAGCCACCTTTTCATTCCACTTTCTCCAGGGCAAGGAAGAGTCCCCCAACCACTCCAATAATTCTTTCAAATAAAGTCTCTTATCTAAATCAGATTTGGTTGTGCTTTGTTTGTTTTTTTACATGTTTATTTTTAAGAGAGAGAGCGAGAGCAGGAAGGTGGAGAGGCAGAGAGAGCCGGAGAGAGGAGCCGAAGCAGGCTCCGGGCCATCAGCACAGCCCGACTCTGGGGCTCAGACCCACAAACCAGGAGATCATAACCTGAGCTGAAGTCAGATGCTCACCGACTGAGCCGCCCGGGTGCACTCTTTGTTAAGATTTTATTTTCAAGTAATCTCCACACCCAACGGGGCTCGCACTCACAACCCTGAGATCAGGAGTCCTATGCTCCACTGACGGAGCCAGCCAGGCACCCCAGAATTGTTTTTTATTTGACAATATGTATATGTAGTCATGTGAGCATGGAGAAAATGTAGGACACGTGTCAACACAGGTAACCTTAGAAAAGTTAAGGGATAGAAAAAAAAAATTTTAAGCCTGTGCTTAAAAAATATACTCCAGCATGTATGATATAGTCTGTTTTATCTTTTTTAATTTTTTCAAACTTTATTCATTTATTTTGAGAAAGACAGAGATAGCGTGAGCAGGGGAGGGGCAGAGAGAGAGGGAGACGAAGAATCCCAAGCAGGTTCTGTCTGGGCTGTCAACACAGAGCCCAATGTGGGGCTTGAACTCATGAAACTGTGAGATCATGATCTGAGCTGAAACCAAGAGTCAGACACTTAACTGACTGAGCCCCCCAAGGGCCCCAATATAGTCCCTTTTATATAAAAGTGTTGTGTCTAAACGTACGAGGTTAAAAGGTAGATTTAGATGTTATAGCAGGCTGAATAATATCCTCCTTCCAAAATATCCAGTTCATAATCCCTAGAACCTAAGAACGCTGCTTTGTATATGTGGTGTCTCTCCTGATCAGATGGGGGCCCCCAAATGTGGGGTGACCCAGTTAAGTAGGAGCCAGTGGCAGGTCAGTGAAAGAAAGGATTCACCCAAAGGAAAACAAAGGAGATAGATAGAAGTTTATTGAATCCTCTGCAAGGGAGCTTTGGGCCTGGACAGCACAGGAGAGACTCTGCCACAGGCAGTGGGCTGGGGGCTGTAGTTAAAGGGGAAGGTAAAATAGTATGGGAGATGCGAATTTTCCTTTTGTGGTACCTGTGTCCAGGCGTAATAGCCCATTGGTCGGTGAGGGCTTACAGATATTTTGAGGCGAGTCGCCGGATAAGGCTGTTTGTATTTGGCCAGGGGGGAAATATGGGCCCTTTCCACATTCCATCGCTCAGGCCTGTTGCCTAAACCCGGCCTCTACAATATAGCAAGAGAGATTTTGCAGATGTTTATTAAATGCTGTATCTTGAGATGTGGAAATTACCCTGAATTATCTGATGAGTTTTAATGTAATCACAGGCCTCCTTATGAGAGAGAAGCAGATGGAGGTTTACAGAAGGGAAAGTGATAGTGTTATGAGGCGGAGATTGGGGAAATGCACTGAGAAAACCCGCAGACCAAGAAGTCAGGGCAGCCACTGTCAGCTCAGCCCCTCAAGAAGGAAGTAGCCTTATCTATAGCCCAGTAAAACTGATTTCCAACTTCTGACCTCCAGTGCTGTCAGAAAATAACTTTGTGTAGTTTTAAGCCACTACACTGGTGGTGATTTGTTACAGCCGCCATAGGAAACAAATGCAGACTGTATACACACTAACTTGTAGAGACCATGATACATTGTCAAGTGAAGAAAGCAGGTTGCAGACTTGCAGAATAATTGTATAATATGATTCTGTTTTAGTGAACACCACCAAGGAAGTAACCAATATCTTTATGTATCCATATACATTTATACGCCTGTATTTATGCTCGCTTGTGTCTATATGACCAAGAAGAAGGTATGGAAGGGTATATACCAGGCTATTGATTTAAGTCATGGGAGTTAAGGGGGGCGGGGATGGAGAAGGGAGAACTCATCTTGTGTTCTTACTGTGGGCCTATGCTACTTCTGCAACCTGAAAATATTCAACTAAGACATTTTTTTCCACAGGTCATATTAATCCTAATTAATGTATTAGGTTCAATGTATCACCCCCACAGGAAAATGAGGTCAGGAACTATAGTCATCCACTGATGTGGATTCTGAAATTACGGACAAAGTTATGGGGCACCTGGCTGGCTCAGTCGGCTGAGTGTCTGACTTTCGATTTCAGCTCAGGTCATGAGCCCAGGGTTGTGTGGGATCAAGCCCTGGGTCGGACTCAGAGCTTAGGGTGGAGCCTGCTTAAGATTCTCTCTCTCTCTCTCTCTCTCTCTCTCTCTCTGTTTCTCCCTCCCCCCAACTCATGCTCTTTCTCTCAAAAATAAATAAATAATGAAGTTATGAACAAAGTTCTATGTATTTTCTAAACAGAAAACTTTCCTCGAAGAGTAGCAATAGTAGTATTGCTGGGGCGCCGGGTGGCTCAGTCGGTTAAGGGTCTGACTTCAGCTCAGGTCACGATCTCACGGTTTGTGAGTTCGAGCTCTGCATCAGGCTCTGTGCTGACATCTCAGAGCCTGGAGTCTCCTTTGGATTCTGTGTCTGCCTCTCTCTCTGCCCCTCCTCTCATACTCTGTCTCTGTCTCTCTCTCTCTCAAAAATAAACAAACTTTAAAAATGTTATTAAAATTTTTATATAAAAACATAGTAGTATTGCTTCCAAAGGAGCTCATCTCCTAACTGAAGATTATTGATCAGTCTGCATTATTTTGATTTCAGGATTAAAATGTATTGAATGGATCTGTGGGCATCAGTCCACAAGATTTTATCAAAGTAAATTTACTGAAAAAAAATTATTTGGGGATTGAGAGATTTTGCACATAATAGCCTTACTTCTTGCAAGTACCAAAAACCAGCTACCCCTTATTGAGCACCTACAGTATGCCAGACCTTTTGTATACATTTTCAGTTCTGTTCCAGTTATCTATGGTACATATCAAATCACCCAAAATGTTAGTGGCTTCAAACAATAATCATTTTATTATCTCTTGTGGTTTCTGTGGGTCAGAAATTTAAGAAGTTTGGGGCCAGGAGGCTCTCACTGACAGTCTTTCATGCAGTTGCAATCAGAAGACAGCAGACGCTGGAAGTTGGGGTGTCAAGGGGTGGTGGGGCTGGAGCATCCTGGGACTGACCAGCCTCGCTCTTCACTGAGTCCCGTGTGGTCTCCTGTTGTGGGCTAATTGGGCTTCCTCACAGCCTGGTGACTTCAAGGTAGTTAGTCTGCTTATATGGCAGGTGGTTCCTCCCCCCCATCCCCGCTCCCCGGCCAAGCTAGTGTCCCCAGAGGTGGAAAAAAAGTCAAAACATTGTTAATGTCCTCCAGCCAAAGACCACCAAGAATACACATGTAGTTAAACAAGCTGAACTGATTACTCCTTGCAGCGAGGGAGAAAAGCCTCATGGGAGAAGCACTGGCTGTGTCTGTAGAGGATGTTAGAAAGAACAAGACAAAGACATTAGAAAG